ATCACCACTAGTATGTTTTCCATCTCTATAATCTTGTCATTCTGAAAAGGTTCTATAAATGGACTCATGTAGTATGTGAAATTTTAAGATTGGCTTTATTCACTCAACATAATGTCTTGAGATCATTCATATTATTGTATTTCAATTGGTTATTTTTATTGCTGTAATTGCCTTTTGGTATTGTGTAGTTGAAGAGTTTTAGATTAAATTGTTGCAATATCACTCAATAATGGACCAAAATGAAAACAATTTGAACTATACACACACATTATGGAAATAATATATAAGAAGAGGAAACAGAGACACCAGGTGACTCAGTCAGTTAAGCGGCTGCCTTCTGCTTAGGTCATGATCCCTATTGGGATCACCGCCTTGAGCTCCCTGTTCAGTGGGGAGCCTGTTTTCACCTCTGCCTCTGCTGCTCCCCCTGCTTCTGTGCTCTCTCTTTTTCTCTCTCAAATAAATAAAATCTTAAAAAAAAAAAAAAAAAGGAAACAGAATTGGGACAACTCCACACTTTTAAAGTCCAAGAGTCTCTTCAATGGGAAATTCTAGAAAGGCCCTAGCCTGTGTCTAAAGTAGAGTAACTGACCTGATGCATGCTAAAATCTGAGTGGATTTGAAAGCATCCTTCCATAAAGAAAGAAAGAAAGAAAGAAAGAAAGAAAGAAAGAAAGAAAGAAAATTAAAAATAAGATATTTCTCTAGGTTTGCCTTAGTCCTTGAAATCCCCATCATTAATCAATCCTTTTGATTATACTGGCAATGAAAACTCTTCTTCACTTATAACTGCATTTTTTGAAAGGGGGGCAGAGATGAACTAAAATATTAATCCACTATTCCATTAACTGTCATAACAAATACATGAGAATACAAGGGGAGTTGAGAACTCAGGTGAGTATAACCACTAATTTAAAGAAAATGATTTTTACTATATTATTTGGAGTTCTGGACTTCTATGAAACTCAATAACCTAAAAAACTAAAATGAAATAAATTTCATGTTTTGAAGATTTCCCAAGAACTGCTGCTCATACCTCACTCCTGGTCACTTTTTTTTTTCTCCTTTTAAAAATTAAAAGTTGATTGGATTATAAAAGCATCTCTTCATTACTACTAAGATTACATTATATACTCACTCTTCTGGAAGTCAAAGAATATTTTAATATTAACAACTCAACAATCCAAAACAATAGCTTTTTTTTTAAAGATTTTATTTATTTGACAGAGAGAAAGAGATCACAAGTAGGCGGGGGGGGTGGGGGGGTGGAGGCAGGCTCCCTGCTGAGCAGAGAGCCCAATGCAGAGCTCGATCCCAGAACCCTGAGACCATGACCTGAGCTGAAGGCAGAGGCTTAACCCACTGAGCCACCCAGGTGCCCCCAAAACAATAACTTTTATAAAGAGACCCAATACATTGAAATGAGTTATAGAACATCATTTGAGTTATAACAGAATTTCAAATACCTAGGATTTCATATCAGTAAAATAGTTTCCTGGAAATAAACTGTAAAATAGGCAACTTCTATGTTATTAAGTTCAGAGAAATCGTAATGAAATATTACTGCATATGTGATGGCTCTAAAGTTTTAGTACCAAACAGTACCCACATCCTTTCTGGAGGACGAACAAGAGGCTAGACATCTCTACGGATTACAAGTGAGAAAACTTTGTAAGATTTACTTCTCATAAAATAAACTTGTGGCACTTAGACTATAGCGTGTCGGGTTGTCTGTCTAAGGAAGAAATGTATTTCCCTCTACCAGAGACCATAGTCAAGTAATTTTTAAAAGCCGAAATATTCCTCTAAGAACCATACAATAACAGGCACACATTCAACTACAGAATTGAAAGGACATGCTGTATAGATGCTGTAGTTGGGTCTTAGTAAACCTGAGGGTCATGATCAAGGTTTCCAAGTTCAGACAAATTTTCATGACCCTTTAGCTCTGAAGCATGGCTGGCAGACTCCATTATTCAGGGGGACCTGTATAATTGCAGCCCCTGAGATTATATTTCTACCTGTGTACCTGGAACGATACCAGAAGTTTCCTGCAAGTAGTGATTAAGTTATATTCACTCAAGAACAATCTCAGAAATAAAAATATTAATAAAATCAAAAGTGAAGACAACTTGTAAAATCTTTTTTTTAAGAGTTTATTTATTTATTTGACAGAGATCACAAGTAGGCAGAGAGGCAGGCTCCCCGCTGAGCAGAGAGCCTCATATGGGGCTCAATCCCAGGACCCTGAGATCATGACCTGAGCCGAAGGCAGAGGCTTTAACCCACTGAGCTACCCAGGTGCCCCTTGTAAAATTTTTTTGCTTATGTTAGTGGTATCAATAATACCAGCTAAAATTATTTTAACTTCTTGAGGTAACCTACATATGTAACTCATTAATATGTTTAGCTGTATTCTGTTTATGATATTATTTCTCGAATATTTTATATTTTCATCCTAAAATATTAAATGTGAACTGTGTTCTTCCCGTGTGTACTTTATAGGTCTGTTTGATGTTGACATTGTATCCTTTGAAGTACCTTGTGACCAAATGCAATACACTTAGCGATATCACATAAACTTAACTGCTACCCCTTCACTATCTGACTTTCTCAAACAAAGGCAAGGCCTGACATAAGTTCTTTTTACAAAAGAAAGAGAAAAAGAAAAAAAAATCTATTTCCATGCATTCCTCAAGTTCTCATTATCTGATTTAAGTGAATATATTTGATGATTTGGACATTGTGTATGTTATGTATTTCCCATTTTTAAGTCCTAATTTCTTATTTAGAGATGGGATATATTCTCCTCTCTGAAAAGATTATTTTGGCATTTTCACTCAAACTCATCCACTGGATTGTAAATTCCTTCCCACTTGGGTTTTATTCATTATCAAGTTTTCCCTAGCACTTAGCACATAACAGGGCACCAGTTGTTCTGACAGTTTTTGTTTTTGTTTTTGTTTTTAAGATTTTATTTATTTATTTGTCAGAGAGAGAGAGAGAGGCACAAGGAAGGGGAGGGACGATGATCAGAGGGAAAGGCAGACACTCAAAACAACTGAGCCACCCAGGGGCCCCTTTTGACTGTTGTTAATGGATTCTTCTACGTGCTGGGCTAGGCAGTAACTGAAAGCCCTCATTCGTGGGGTTTGACGTTCCAAGGTGGGGGAGGAAACAAACCATCACTATAGTCAAATAAACATACAGTGAGTTACCTGAAGTGGGGATGAAGACAAAGCAGGATAAGTGAGAGAGAATGCCAACTTCACAAATTATAACTTAATAAATGAGAAAAATAGGCTCATGAAAAGTTAAATGACTTCTCCAAATCACCCAGCTAGATAGCAACATAGTCAGCATTCCTATTTGTGGTTGTTTTTTAATTACAAATCTGACTTTATTGTCTGTCTGAATGCTGTCTTCCAACCTCTGACTGGGAAGAAGACACTATACAGACTCCTCTTGAGCATGAAGTTTGAATGAAAATCTTCCTGATTTAAGACAAATTCCTCATTGACAAGGATGTAATTGTATCTTAACTGCATAAGGTAATTTATAACTTTTGAAATAGAAATTCCAAGTTTTTCACATTAGGGTTTAATTTTATAGGAATCTTATAGGAATTTTCTAGCAGACAGTGAAATGTCATTTTGTGGCTAATTACCGTATTAATTTGCTTTAATGGAAAGTAAAATAATCACATGGTCATTGTATTCAGAAATGTCCATTTTTTCCAGATAGGTGTACTATTCTTTTTTTAAATTAATTTATTTGAGAGAGAGCAAGAGGGAAAGGCAGAGGGAGAGAGAAAATCTCAAGCAGACTCTCCTCTCGTCATGGAGCCCAGTGCATGGTTCGATATCACCACCCTGAGATCATGACCCTAGAGATCATCACCTGAGCCGAAATCAAGAGTAGGATGCTTAAATAACTGAGCCACCCAAACACCCTAAGTGTATTATTTTTTTAAGGTAGGTAACACATATACACACAAACATCCAAATCCAAAACGGAGGAAAAAATGACTATAAAATTCATTAAATAAAATATACAAATGATTATTTATCATGAAAATGTACAACTTCACTCAAAAGAAATATAAATTTAAAGATTAAGGAAATGCATTTTGGGGTTTAGTTTTTTAAATTAACAAAGATTTGGTACAAATTTACTATAGTTTTACTCAACAGTATCAAGTACCTTAAATATCAAGTACCTAGAGTTTGGACTGAAGAATTCCACTTCCAGAAATTTATACTTAGGAAAAAATCATATGAAATCAAAGATGTTTCATAAGTTACTGCAATGTGTTGAGTCTTTTTTGTTTTGGGGTTTTGAATAGTAAACATTCAAAGATTCTTTGTTTTCGAAAAGAGAGAGTACACATGTAATCTGAATGGGAAGAGAGATTCTTTCTCAATCTAATTTTAGGAGAAGGGGGGGAGGAATAGCCAGGAATGAGGCATGAGCAGGAGTTCTTGGGAAATCTTCAAGAAATAAAATGTGTTTGGGGTACCTGGGTGGTACATTTGTTTAACGTACATTTGTTTTGGTTTCCACTCAAGTCATGATTTCAGGGTCATGGGATCAAGCCCGTGTCAGGCTCTGTGCTCAGTGGAGAGTTTGCTTGAGATTCTCTGCCTCTGGCACTCCCTCCTTTAAATAAATAAGTAAAGTCTTTTAAAAAAAGAAATAAAATTTATTTTATTTTAGGGTTTTAAGTTATTAAGCTTTATAGAAACTTGGAGTTTCAAGTAACATATATAGAAGACTTTTTTTAAAGCAGATATTAGGTACAAGGAGATATTTGGAAGTACAAAAACAAATAATCCAAATGTTTAAAAATGAGAAAATGTTTTTTTTTTTTTTTGAATTACTGAATATTTATTGAGTACACTGTATACCAGGCAAAGGAACAGAAACAAATTGTCCAGAGTTACTTTTAACTGCTTCAGCAATGCCTGAGTCCTCATCATAAAAAAAACCCATTCTGCTGATTTAGTATCCATTCACTCTTTGATTAATCTTCATGTACAGTTTTCTCGTCTACTTTCAAATCTTGCATAATGCTGTAGACCATTAAATATTCCAAAGGCCGTCTCTAAGACTAGAGGAATCATCATGGCTTTTATCTCTGTCTGACAAAGCAGCAGCCAGTAAAGTAAAACCCTTCCTTTTGGTGGCAATGGAACAGTATGATACTTGACTGCAAGGCGTCCATTTTTAGAGAAAGCCAAACCACAGGGATATAAAACACCACATATTATGCTAATCAGTGAACTTCTCAGAACACAATTTTCCTGGCTTATATTGCCCAAATACAAAGCATCCGTTACAAGGAGCTTATAAGTGACTACAGTAGACAAAAACGGAAGTGTAGTCAGTGATGCATACGTCTTCAAAGCATCATGTTTAACCTTGAAGCAATGTCTGAAAATGAAGTTGGCCATTATTCCAGAGAAACTAGCTGCTGTTCCAAGGAACGCTGTGCCATATATATTTAAAGTCTTTTCTTTTCTAAGATATTCAATTTTTTTTTCTATGATTTCGATGATCATTGGTCTTCTGAGTTTTCCATCTTCCAGAGAAAGACTGGGCTGACCATGTGTGTATGTTGCCATTCTGATGTCCTTGGGCGCTTCCTCGGCTCTCACCGGGACCACACCTGCTTCCTTCAGGTCAGCCCCAGCCTCACTAAAAATGAGAAAATGTTTTAACCCACTGAGCCACCCAGGTGCCCCAAAAATGAGAAAATGTTTTAACAAATCAATAAATTATGATACAGTCATCAAATTAAGTGTCAGTATGAGAAATATTTGCAAAGATTAGTGATACAAAAGCATAGTATTTTATTAAACATAAAGTATAAAGAAAAATATATAAACCTTGAAAATGCAAAATGGTATATACAGATTTTGTCTACAAACTGAATTATATACAAGAACAGAAAAAAATTTTTATTTATTTATTTATTTTTTTTTTTTTTAGAAAAAAAAATTTTTAAATGATGTTAAGTATTTCTGTGTTTTGGAATTAAGTGATTTTTTTAATATATAATGTATTATTTACCCCAAGGGTACAGGTCTGTGAATCATCAGGCTACACACTTCACAACACTCACCATAGCACATACCCTCCCCAACGTCTATAACCCAGCCACCTTATCCCTCCTCCCCACTGACCAAGCAACCCTCAGTTTGTTTCATGAGATTGAGAGTCTCTTATGGTTCTTTTCCTTCCCAATCCCATCTTGTTTCATTTTTTCCCTCCCTAGCCCCCATGACCCCCCGCCCTGCCTCCTAAATTCCTCATATCACAAGGACCATATGATAATTGTCTTTCTCTGATTGACTTAATTTCACTTAGCATAATACCCTCTAATAACATCCACATCATTGCCAATGGCAAGATTTCATTTTTTGATGGCTACATAGTATTCCATTGTGTGTATATACCACCTCTTCTTTATCCATTCATCTGTTGATGGACATGTAGGTTCTTTCCATAGTTTGGCTATTGTGGACATTGCTGCTATAAACATTCGGGTGCATGTGCCCCTTCGGATCACTACA